GAAAAACTATTGTTGAACGTAGCCTAAGAGCTTATTGCTCAATGATTAAGTTTATTTGGTAAATGAGATATCTGAATAATTTAAATGAGTGCATTTTTTTACATGTTTGACCTTCTATATTTTTACATATTATGTACTTTTCACATAATAATAAATTGACATTATATTATATAAGATGAACTCAAATATACAAATTTAACTTATTATTTAACTATTAGCATAATATGGTTGTAAATGATGTAAATTATTCATAGATAATTTAAATTTAATATAATTATGAATGTCAAAAATTAATTATATAAAAGTCAAAAATATTTCATAATTAACATCTTAAAAATTTACTATAAAATATAAAATCAAAGGACATTATCTATAATTCTCTATAAAATAAAATATAAAGTTAAATTATATCCGCTTCTTCTTGAAGTATATGGCCCAATATAATAAAATATAAAGTTAAATTATATCTAAAAATATAAAGTTAAATTATATCTAATATAAGGTCCCTTTTATGTATATAGTAGGATATAATTTGTGATTTTAAATATTAGGTGAGGGAATTTGTATTCTGGTTAAAAAAAGCTAAACAATTTACTGAATAAGTTAAGAAAACTTAGCTTTTTGAATAAGCTAATCGTTTGCCTTCATATTCAGATAAGCTGCTTATCTGAAAAGACAAAGCAAACGAACTTATTTTCTTTTTATCTGAATCAATAAGATAGGTGTATAATAAGCGATAATAGCTCAAACAAATATCCCTAGGTATAGAAAAAGATGGACTAGAATGTGCTTTCAGAACTTAGTTAAAGAAAAATTGATCAAAACTTATTGATTTTGTTTTTTATTCTTTTGTCGTAATAGATTTAAGGAAAGTAGAAGTTGCAAATTTTAGTTAAGAATGGCAATACTAGTGTCAAAATTTTTTAAAGTAAGGAATGATGATGGGTTGTGGGTTGGATGTGGAGTGGCATTTTTAACACTCGTATTCATTATTTGAGATCAAATATGTATCTACATAGGCACATGCCTTATTTACGATCATATGAGTTACATGCCGGTTCAGGTTCAAATTAAGAAAATTAAAGAAAAAAAAAAAATAGGGTCGAATTTTATTTTTAAATTTATATCCGCTTCATTATTAAATGGATCGCATTTTACCTATCCAATTGGAGTCGGGTCCCATGGATATCAGACAAGACGGGTAAAATTACCATCTCTATTTGCATTCTTCATATTTAATTATTTTCTTTTGGATAATTATGCCCTCTAGTTATAATATTTTTATAGTCTTCATATTTAATTACTTTCTTTTTGGATAAGTGTGCCCTCTAGTTATCATATTTTTAATTCTCTCCACATGGTACAGTCAGTATGGCATGTCCACAGATTTTGATACATGCATCCAAATTGTCTAATAGAAAAATATTAGAATAACGATTAACTATGAACAGTAAGAATTAAATTGAATTCAACTGAATTTAATTTACTATTATGATACAGTTCTAATTTTTAGTAATAATCAAACTAAAAATTATATTAAAGGGCCTAATAAAAGAGGGATTTATGTATATCATAGACCTATTGCATAAAAGTATCCCAACGTCTACACTTTTCACGTTGTGGCACCCCAATCTTTCAAAAAGTTAAATCATGCACATGATGTTTCCTTTTTCGTAATTTAAATGCCATTTGCCATGCTGAAGTGGGAGAGAGTGAGCTCAAAAGCATAAAAGCGAGTGACCGCTTCTTAACTTCCAATGGCTACATTAAAAACAATCATTAAAAGTGAAATCCCCCAATTTAAAAAAAATCAAAAGATTTAGGTAAAATTCCCAATTCGATTAATCCTAAATCTCTCTCTCTCTCATACATTCTCTCCATAATCTCAAGAAATTGTGAGTTTATTTTAGTGCTCCTTATGTGTAAGAGGACAATTGGCTTAGGGTTTTGAAGGTGCTCTTGATATAGCAACAAATTTCCAAATAGAATTTGAGATTTCAAGGTGCAATTGTGGTGAGAAGACTCTGTTGAAACACTCTTATACAGAGGCGAACCCAGGAAGAAGGTTCTTTCGTTGTAGGAAGTATAGGGTGAATTACCTTTGTCGCTCATTTTAAGTGTTTTTTTCTTGTTTGCTTATGTGTGTTGCAATCATGATTGTGTAAATTTTGTATAAAATGCAAAAGCGTGGGGCTTGCAATTATTTTGCTTAGGTAGATGGACCACGCTTTTGCATTTTATACAAAATTTACACAATTTGACACATTGTAATCCAACGATTGAAGAGAATAAGTGTACGAAGAAGAGAGGAAGAGGAGCAAAAGCCTAGGTGGTGTAAGTTTGCGGCTGCAGTTGCTCTTCTCATTGGGATCTATCTGTTTGAATTGGGGACTTTTTTTCTTTCTCCTGTGACTCCAATGTAGTTATTTAGAAATTGTATAACTGGGATGACTTGGGATGTGGTTGCTGGTGAAGTGGTTTGTTGTAGGATTTTGTTGTTGTAAGTAATTTGCAAGATTTATGATGGAAAGTAGGTGTAGTAACTGCATTTCGGGATATGTAGTTCTTTTTGTTGTTCAAAAAAAGTAACATTTGCATGAGTTTCTTTTAGCATTAATGGAATATGCAATGTGCCTCTTTTTGAGTTTGCAAAAACATCGTCGCAATTTCTCAAACGTGCACTCAATCTTGCCTCAATAGACGTGTCAAAATCCCAAGATAATCAAGAACTCATTAAAATGTTACAAATAACTTGTCTTAACTATATTGAAAGGCATTTCATGTTCTGGAACTTATCCAGCAAATATAGAATGTAGAAAAATATAATCATTATTTTCTATTAACTATCATATAAAATAGTGAAAATTACTGCTTTATTATTGTATTTTATTAAAATACTTCACTTTTTTCCCTGCATTTTTGAAAGGTTGTACAGAGAGAGAGTGTGCAATGTGCCTCTTTTTGAGTTTGCAAAAACATCGTCGCAATTTCTCAAACGTGCACTCAATCTTGCCTCAATAGACGTGTCAAAATCCCAAGATAATCAAGAACTCATTAAAATGTTACAAATAACTTGTCTTAACTATATTGAAAGGCATTTCATGTTCTGGAACTTATCCAGCAAATATAGAATGTAGAAAAATATAATCATTATTTTCTATTAACTATCATATAAAATAGTGAAAATTACTGCTTTATTATTGTATTTTATTAAAATACTTCACTTTTTTCCCTGCATTTTTGAAAGGTTGTACAGAGAGAGAGTGTGTGTATTTGTAGTGAGAAGAGAAACTACGACTTTAAATCAAGTTTTCTTACATTAAAGAGAGAAATAATTTCTACGAGGAAGGGAAACAACAACTTTGAATGAAGGCTTTTCTTTTAGGTTGCAGATAGAGCGGCAATAGGACATTTTCTAGATATAAGAGGACTAGGGGTGTTAATTATTAACCGCCAAATTAAATCGAACCAAACTAGAGCAGTTTAATTCAATTTGGTTACTATGAGAAAAAAGTTTGGTTTATATATTTTGAAAAAAAGAGCGATTTACAGTTCAGTTTTAATTTTTTTATTTAAAGAATTTAAATAAAACTGTAAGTCGTATAATAATATATAACATAGCAAGCAAACAGATTACGAATTATAATCTACGAAATAATAAAACTGTTCTCTTCAACTTAATTTACCTACTATTCTCCGGGCATTATTCACTTAATTACTTATATTGAGCATAAACCTTAATTAGTTATATATAAGTTTGCAACTTCAACAGAATTAATATGTCTTTTATTTAGTTGAGTTGAATTTGATAATTTAAAAATACTTTAGTTTCAGTTTGAAAATTCTACAAATCGTAATTATCAGTTTGGTTTGAAAATCCATTTAAACTGTCTAAACTAGACCGTGTATATCCCTAAAGAGGAATAAGGAGAAAGTTTACTATAATATTAAATCGAGCCTTAATTATCCATAGAAAAGTCAATTAACAAAATGTTTCCCTAGTCAAAAGGAACATGATTTCCCTCATTCAAAGAGGAAAACATTTTCTAGAAATAAGTCTAATGGTAAGGACTTAAAACGTGAAGTGTTGTATGAACGTGCATGGTTGAGATAGTTGGACTTGGAACATAAAATGTGAATTGTAGCTTTTGTATGTGAATTATTGAAAACAATAGAGAATTAAAATGTGAATTGTGATTTTTACGTGAATTCTTAACCTAATACCATATTTTTTTTAAGTTTTAGTTTTGCTAAGGTGTATTATGTATAACATAAAATAAGTCTAATTTCTCACTTAAAATAGAAAAAAAAATTAACTCATTTAGTTTATATAATAACTTGAAAACATAAAAATGTTTGATTTACATAATCATTTATAGTAAATAGATTATTTATTTTCCATTTTGATACACATTTAAATATTGTAATTTTATAATTTCAGATTTTAATATGTAATAATTTATTACATTTTTTAAGAAATATTTAGATTTCATAAAAAAAATAAAGCAAAATACCTATAGTACGATTCCCTCTTATTCTTTTTCTCAAATCAAACGAGTACTATCTGTATTATAATCTGATCCAAAGGCATCAAGTTTCTTTTTTCCAGTAATTCCTCCACCGCCATGAATAAAACGACAGAAAGAACAAAAAAAACAAACAAATAAGAGAGAGAAAAAAAAATGGGACCAGTTCCCTCTCCTATAAAAGCATATGATTTACTATGAAGAAACCATCTCATCCTCACTTCTTCACTTGCTTGTAAGTCAATACTATGAAGCTTTTCTCAAAAAACTTTTTTTAACATCTCAACTGCAATTTCTGCTATTTCTGTTCATTAAATTATAGTACTCTTGAAAACCTTTTTAGTTCTAGCAACTTGAATTTAATAATATTTGTTCTAATTTAATTGCTCAAGCTCTTTTAATCGTTGGATTTTCAGTTCAGTTAGCAATCTTTTGTTGATATAAACATGTGCATTGATTTTTGACAGGGGAAATATGGAAGGAAATATGAAGGTTTGTGTTGTGGTGGCGACATGGTTGTGCTGGACTATGATATTTGGATTGGCTAGGGTTATTCACCCATCAGCAATCCATAACTGCACAGTCACAGTCGATGAAATTCCCTCTGTGAGCTTTACTATTACTCGCATCCCCGGTGACGATACCGCTGGCTACAAGCAGTTTATGGTAGATCTTCGAGAGAAATTGGCTTCCGGTACTACTAGCCATGGAGTACCAGTGTTACGCTCCACAGCTTCAAGAGAAGCCAAATATCTTCTAGTCAATATTATAAATTCAGGGAATAAGGAAATCACATTAGGATTGAATGTTATTAGCGCATATATTTTGTCCTATAAGGTGGGATATAATTCCTATTTCTTTAAAGACAAAGCTGAACTGAAGGATGCGCAAAAATACCTTTTCACAGACACAAGGCAAACCACACTCGACAAATTTTCTGGTAACTATGACTCTTTCAAAGCTGAAGGAGGAGATCGAGAAACAACCGATTTAGGAATCGGGCAATTAGACTCTCATATTTATACACTTCATAAATCGACATTGCCAAAAGATATCGCTAAACCTCTTGTTTGTATTATTCAAATGGTTTCAGAAGCGACCCGATACAAATATATTGAGAATAAGATAATAGATAAGATTAGTGGAAGTTTTAGGCCGAAGCTTGACACAATCACTCGTGAGAACAAATGGGAAGACCTTTCTGATGGAATTGAAAATGCTGATGCGAAGGGAAATTTTAAAACAGAAGTTAGATTGCAGAAGGAAGATGGTAAGGAGGATATTATATCCAGCGTTAATCAAATAATAGGTGATATGGGAATTTTGCTGTATCAAAAGAAGAAGAGCTACAATCCAAGCTTTGGACAAACAACATTTGGAAACCTTATCACAACAAAATCAAATTGCTGCCTCGACTTTGATTAATATTACTTATATCTGTATTATGTCAAAATAAAGGACATGTCATATTATTACTCTTGTTGTCTAAATGTTCTCCTATTTTCGTCAATTTCCAGATTTGATCCGTGATTAGTAATTGATGTGAGGATCAATTTGGATATATGTGAGTTTAAAATAAAGTTGAAGTTATATTATTGTTGCATCTTTGTTTATGAGAACATTAATTTCTAAGCATTTAATTATATAATTAGAACCGAAATTCTTTAGTTTTACTTTTAAAAAATTTGATTCATTTTTTTTCTGAAGGAAAAATTTTAAAATTACCCATAAATTCAAGTGACATGACAAAATATGTTTGAGTTTATCAGATGATTTCTGTAAAGTTGGGAGTTAACCAATGGAAAAAACTTATGCAAGGATCTCAAACTAAGTGAAGTTGAATTAGCTATGAATCACGGAAAACCATCTTTGAAACGGTGGACAAAGTTTTAATAAAATGTCAACTCTCTCTCTAGTTTGTTCTCATATTTTATTCAACTTGGTTATAAGATATAAGAATGAATTTATTGATTTTTTGGCTAAGAATGTATTAACGCTGCAGTGGACTTTTTAACTTGGTTGTAGTCATTTTCATTGCTTTTTTACTTGATTATAGGCGAAGTTTTTGCAATTTTTTGCATCTTCTCTTAGCTCCGGAGAAGGAGAGATTTTCCTAGTCAGGTCGTATTGTTTTTGCCAAGTTTGTATTTAACATTTTCAAACTATTTATGTGTATACTGGGGGAGTATATTGGCTAAAGGTAGAATTTTGAAAATGTTAAACTTTTCATGATTCTTTAATTCTAATAAAATTTTTTGTTGCTGATTAAAAAAAAAAAAAAACTATGAATCACGAAAAGGTCAGCCACGAATAGGTGAAGTCGAATTCATTAAATTCTTTCACCTTGAATTAGCTACCTCCTTAAATAACGAGTAGTAGCTTGTTCATGTAACATAGTATAGATGTTAGGAAAAATTCACCTGATTTATGAATAATAAAAATATATAATCCTGAAGTAAAAAATAGTTTGAAAATGCTGATGTGGAGGTGTACCTTTTCTGCATTATATATTTCCTTTTTTTTAGGAAATTTTGAACTTTTTCTTCTTTTTTTTAGCTTTTTTTTTTCATATAAATATATATTTTTATCTCTATCTCTTATCTCCATATAACAAGTATATGGTATCTCATCTTTTATCAAATATTACAGAATCTTATCGTGAATGAAAAATATTTTCGAATTTTAATCAACTTTTATCTCCACCTTTTTATATCTATATAATCAACTTTTAATAATATTAGGTTGTTTAGCATCAACTATCCACTATATTGGCACTGAAACTATGGTAGAATTGTGAAACTCTATAAAACTACTACAAGGCTGAACATTTACATCTATAATATGTGGTAGAATATATATAATTAGCTTAGTTGATTCCTGTAACATGATTTTGCATGTACATGTTGATAGTTTATTTTTTGCACCAACAGTAGTGATATTCTTTGTTTCTCTCTTCATCTTTGGATTTTTATCTAAGGGGCTAAGCGATCTGTCGAAGCTGTGGGATGTAAAAGTGCATCGCTAGGGGAGCTTCCCTCACTTGATCCTTTTCTGCATTATTTTAGTTTGATAGAGCATATGGTATATGATGAAATTTTCAAGTTTCTTTTGACTTGCAGGCACTGAATAATGATGCAAGATCTGGATATGGTGTACTTGAGAATACCATGTCTGGCCAATATAATTTCAAGTGTGATGTTTATAGTGAAATATATAACAACATTATCCCATATATCTCTCGCTATCTCTCCCTTCCTCTCTTAGTTTGACAAGAACTTAGTATTAGTACTCATATTGTAATTTTAATCATAACTCTCAAAGGGCTCTACCCTGTCTTTGTGCTGATGTTGTTGCTTTGTGTCCAGGTAGAGTTCATGTTTGTTTTAGAATCGCATTACTGTGATTGAATTTTTTGAAAGGTTATTATTTGTAATTTTGTAATTAATTTTATTATTAAAAACAACTCTACATCTAAATCGTTGATTATTTAGAATCTAAAAAATAATTGATTAAACTTCATAGTAAGATATTATGAATTTAAATAATTTCAAAAAAAAAATATATTGTGAATTTAAATTTGAACTTTATGTAATATATTTGTAAAAATTATAGTTTAAAAAAATAAGAATAAGACTCTTTTATTAAAAAAAATAAGCACTAAAATTATTTTAGAAATCCTATATATATACACACACGTGTATGTATTTGAATTTTTTTCTTCGACCATTTATATTTTTTTCAAGTCGCCATTTTAAAATATTAAATTATAAGAAAACATATAATTATATTTAAATTAATAAGTAAAAGTATAATATATAGTCAAAAAATAACCCTGGCATGCCTGGGGCTTTGTCTAGTTCATAATTAAACTACAACTATAAGATGCAGATTTAGATTTTTTTTTTTTTATCTAAAATTTTGAATATAACATTTTACCATAATTTATGCAATTAGTATATCAAACTAAAATATAAAAATAATTGTCAAAAAAAGTTAAAAAGATAAAAAAATAATACTGTGCACACCAAACATAATCTAATGGTACTGTATATACACGAAGAAAAGATATTTTAAAAATAATTATATATATAAAACAAGCAAAACTACCCTCATCAAATTTTTTTTTTCTTAAACAATTGCTCGCAAATTTTCAAGATTATAGGATAACGCAATAATAATTTAAGAGCTCTAGATGAAAAGTAAAAGTAAAACTTCTAAAAGCCATTAATAAATTTGTTTAATTAGTAAAGTATATAATAATAAGTTAGATAAATTCTAAACCTTACCATTCAAAAGATATTATAATTATACTCATAAAATTAGTTAGTGGTATATATATTTTTTATGTTAGATATTTATATCTAATTTATTAAAAAATTATATGAAAAACCTATGGATTGTGGCTCAGTTGACAACGCAGGCTGGCGTGTGAGAAGAGTTCTAAGATTCAATTCCCCACTAAACACACCTGCAGAGATATGCAAAGAGTTTTAACTGTAATTAAACTCCAATAATATGACTCACATACCAGTGATTTATAAGAAAAAAAATTGTATGAAAAGATAAAGAAAATATTTATGAAATACTATATGTTATTGTACAAGTATTTAATACCAATTATAACAATATTTAATCAATAATTTAAATCTATATTATTTGATAATTTTAATTAATTTTTCTTAATTTTGGTAAAACTATTTTTTAGATATTAAATACTTAATTTATAAATGACTTCTTATACGGGTAGAACTGTGATTAAGAAACTAAAGGAACCTTTAAGTATAAAGAGACAAAATTGATATTTTAAAGATAATACAACAAAAAGAATAGAATACAATAAAAATAAGAGGAAAAATTTTACCTAGACTGAGTCCGTGGCTCCACTGATGGATCAAACCGATAAGAATAAGATTCATACACTGAAAAAAAAAAAGTCAGAACGCTTTTTAAAGAATCCTTACAGTCATTGGTTTGATCAATAATCGTGGTTATAGATCCGATCAAGGTAAGTAATTTCTAAATTAAGGAGCAAATTATCAATGCACTATTCTTATGAACAGTAAAAAGAATGGCATTAATCTTTGTGTATGTGTATATATATACATAAAATATGGAGTTTTACAATTAATTATTCTTATATTTATATAAACAAAACACAGTTATTAAGTATGAAAAAACAAAAATTATCAATTGTATAAAGCCATTCATCCATATTCACAACACTTGAAATAAACATACATGTTTGCTCTTCAAATCTGCTCCAGCTCTCCACTCACGCTTGTCACCTACTCAATTCAAACTAGGCTAGAAATCTCGATAATCGTTCACTGTTACGAAATACGATAATTTTTTAAAAAGTATGATATTCACATGTGGACACACTATATTAGATAAGTAATATATTAATATTTCAAATAAATAAATAATAATATTTAATAAATTATAAATATAAAATAAAAAAAATTTTATTTCTTATTTCAATGACACAAAAAATATTACTGTTACGAAATTACGATAATTTTTTAAAAAGTATGATATTCACATGTGGGACACACTATATTAGAAAGTTAAATATATTAATATTTCAAATAATAATATAATAATAATTTAATAAATTATAAATATAAAATAAAAAAAATTTTATTCTATTTTCAATGACACAAAAAATACTTTAATAAATTACTTCATTTTTAAAAAATATTTAAAAATACTTCATTTTTATTCATAGTAAACAAAAAAAAACCTTGGTTGATTAACTTGGTGTATAGAGTAGTCTCATATACTAGGAGCTGAATTGCACAGAAATGTGACACGAGATATGGAACGTACGTGATACGATAATTTTTAAAAAATGTAGGATATTCATTCTCTTAAAACATACTACACTAAATAAGTACTAGATTAATATTTCAAACAAATAAAAAATTATTTATAAAAAAAAATAAAAAATAAAAAACTATTCAATGTCACAAAAGCAAATTAAAAAAAAAACACTTCATTTTTATTGGTAATAAAACAAATCTTAGTTGATTAGTTTAGTGTATAAAGTAGTCTCATATACCAGGAGTTAGGTTGCACAAATACAGAATACGAGATACAAGAATGTACAAGATATGATAACTTTTAAAACAGGTAAGACATCCACACGCTTAGGAGTATCTGGTTATAAAGTATCTAGCTATAAAGCTAATGAGTACTAATTAATTTCCAATACAATAATGAAATAAACTTATGGACTAGGAAGAATGGATAATTAGGTTTTTAATTAAAATGAGGAAACTAATTTATCCATGCTGCAGTATATATATATATATATATTAGGAGAAGACTTACCTATTCTTATTGTATGGGCGTGTCCAAACATTAAATAAATAACTAGTTGTTATTTGAAAAAATTGTTACAAGTTAGTAGTATTTCATTTATTTAGTTTTCCATATTTATCATAAATACATTCATTTGATTAAATTTTTTTATTAAATTTGTATGGAGTATTGTGAGCAGCCTTTTCCCACCTCAGAATTTTTTTTTATTTAGAATTTTTATTCGAAGCTCTTTTTCCTTACAATTTTGTCTGTAGTCTCTTTGATATTTTTTTTTCCAAGTATCAAACATTTTCTAGCCTTTTTAGTATAAAATCATTTTTAATTCCTCCACTTTCTTGTAAAATATATAGATTTTATCTATGAAAAATAAAAAATTTATCCCAGCCCCGCGGAATCTTCCATCATGATTCCGTGCCTTGTGAAGGTCACTGCGCACTAAGCAACCCTTTTTTTTTATTTTATTCTAAAATCTCATCACTTCCATAGATTTCTTCTTTTGCTATCCATCTTTTATCAGAGAACATATCATTCTTCACAGGAACTATGCCATTTGCTTCCCTTAAATGAACTATGCCATTTGCTTCCCTTAAATGTGATTAAAGCAAATCATATATTTATAAACCTGCACTAAATGTTATAACAATTGGGCCATGATGACACGGATCACTGAAATTAGGGTTTAGCTATTATTATAAGTCAGTGGAGGACATTCAGATTAAGCTATTAGGGACACGGATCACTGAAATTAGGGTTTAGCTATTATTATAAGTCAGTGGAGGACATTCAGATTAAGCTATTAGGCCAGGCACTGGAATGTGATAAACATGCTAGAGTAATTGCCGATTGCAATTAACTAGTAAAAGTCATATTTTGCATTATGATATTTTTTTTTTTTTTTTGGGGTCAAAAAAGCGCTCTTTCAGATGCTGTAGGGAGATAAAGAAGTTAGAATGTTTTTCAACTGTTTTAAAATTTCCATGCTTATTATCCAAATGGAAAATTTTTGTCCACATTAGAATTGACTATAAGTTTTAAAAGTTAAAAGTAACTTTCAGCCTTTTCCCTATATTATATATTTATTATGAATTTGTACTGTTCAACGGCAAATATTATATTAATATTTAAAAGTTGTGAGAATAGATAATGAAATATTTAATTAATATTTAATAAAACAGTTATTATTAGTAAAAAAATAATTATTTTATCCCGAGATTAAATAAATAAATTATTTTATCCTCATATTTTTAAATATTAAATATTTAATCATCCAGATTTGATTCCGTCTCGTCAAATGGTCTAATTTCTAATTTTTGTGATTTTTGCCGTTAAATGCCCGGTCCGGTGAAAGATTAAAATACCTTTACCACTATCCTTCTTCTCCTTCTCCATCTCTCCAGATTTCCATTACTGTAACTACACAAATTCAAAGGAAAAGAAAAAAAAATACATTTAAAAATCATTATGAAAAATTCAATATCAAAAGTATCAAACAGAAAGACTCCATTTTGGTAAATTAAATCCAACCAACCATTGCAATCCATAATTTTCAAGTACTGTAACCACAATCCACCACTACAATCCAAAACCGAAAAAAGAAACGACCTCTGTACAACCGATCAAATACACCTTCGTACAACCCCATCAAAATTTTTCAGACACTTGTTGCAAATACAATTTTTTTATCATAGAAAAGAGAATAGGCATAAAAAACATTATCAAAAATAAACTCAATATATAGTACAGGCTCTACTAACAAATAATTTCTGAACTTAGTTATTAGTAAATTGTTAGATATACTAAATAAGGCAAGGGTTAGCAAATGATTCAATGAAGATTTATTCTTACCATTTCCTGTTTTAAGGTTGTTATAGATCTGGTAAGAAGAGTTCCCGGATGGACCAAACGTTGTCAGATCTGTTAATTTCTTCAACAGAAATGGACTAGGAAAGAAGAAGATCTGAAGGCCAAAATTTGCTACCCTTCTATTCTCTCTCTAGATTTTCTCAGTTGGTGCTAGAAATGTGTAAGGATGAAGGAGAGACAACAAAGGAAAAATAAAAAATAAAAAAAGACTTGATGAGAAACAGCAAAGGAAGGAAAAAAAAGACTTGATCCAAAGAGAAGTGCAGATTTCGATTTGAGAAGAGAGTATGTGTAAGATGGTGAGAAAGATAAAAAGTCAGTGAAAAGGGATAATTTTAATTTTAGTGGCTGAAATTGTCAATTTTTTCTATTTTGGTGTCTTTTCTATTTTGGTGTCTGAAAACAGGAAATTGTTACAATTGAGTGTCGGAATTTGCAATTTTTTCTATTTTGGTATCTCCTGCTGACATGGATTCTACTGGAAAATCAAATGGCACTTAATGGGACCTATAAACGCCTACACGTCTGCCTTTGTGGACTGACTAATTTGACAATAGGAAGCTAGCGTGGCAAAAAGGACAAAATGTCTCATTTGCCCTTGCTTATTATCGCCCCAAACCTAATTACAAAAACCCCCTTTTGACTAACCTAAATCCCGATTTCATCTCTCAATACCTCCCTTTCTTGCTTTCTCCCTCGCTCGTCCTCTCTCCTTCTCAAACATGGATTTTCGATTTGTAAGTGTGGAATCGCATGCCCAGTTCGAACATCATGGACGGAGTTGAATCCTAAAATGAGATTTGTTGCTTGCAAGATTCGATTGGTGAGTATTATTTCTTCTTTCCCCTTTTATTTGATTTTAGGTTTTCTACTTCTTTTCATTATTTCTTGAAATTAATTTTTGATATTTGAAGGTTGAGCGAAACAATGGTTGCGATTTCTTTGAATGAAATAATCGAACTTCCTCCTTAATTAAATAAATGTTTTTGTTTTTAGAAAGAAGTCTAAGTCAGCTCCTAAAACACCCACTGGCTTTGGCATTTACACTAAATTAGGACAAGATCAGTCACAATTGATGTATGGAATCCTTTTTTACAATTTTCTTTTATCTGTTTTTGGTAATTGATGTATGGAATGCTTAAGAGTTTTGTTTTGTATTTTTTGTAGCTGGTAACGGTGGTGAAAGATCAGTTCTGCCTCCTAAAAGGAAGGGTAAAAGAAGAGAAGAAAATGAGCCTAAACCCTCATTCATGACAGAAAAGGAATCAGGTTTTCACAAGAAAGGAAATCATTACATTGCAAGAGGATATTTACAGGTATATATTTTAAAACTCATACTCAATATTCAACCTATTAGTTCTTGTGTTATGTGAGTTTAAGGATAAGTTGTGCATATTTATCAGGTATAGACTGCAAGAAATGAGAAGCAAAAACTGCAAAGTAGTGCTGCTAAGAGGAAATCCGAGGAAGTAAGTGTTAATGGAAAAACCTCCAAGATGTGCAGGCTCACTGAGAACAGCACTACCACTAAAGAGGAGCCCAATGATGTAATGCAGAGCCAAGAATTAGTGAACAAAAGAAATTAGATTGTAATAGGATGTTTTGTTTCTTTTTGTATTGGCTTGAACAATGTTAATGGCCAAAAGTCTATATTTTTATAATTTTATAATTCAAGGTTTTAGACCTTATATTTGATGTTAACAGAATTGCATTTGATGTTAACAGTAATTCAATTTGAGAATGTTGTTTATTCAATTGAAGTTTAGTTTTGACTGTTAGTTTGAATTGTTTGAATGCTTTCAAAGGTTTTGGGTGCTTTAACATTTTTGACATTTCTTAGTGCTTTAACTATTACTTTCAAAACATGAAATGTAGGAAAAACCACAGTTGTTGTGTATTAGCGAATATTTCAGGTCCATTTTTATTTACATAGTGTATATTCTGTAGAATTGTGCTGCATTTTTTAGGTCCATATTTTCCCCACACAATGCACTAGTAATAGTGATTCACACGTATAAACAAACAGATCAGAGAAATATTTATGCAACATAAAGTTGATTTCATTTGGCAAAACATTCTTCATTACAAACGGATCAAGTTACATTCAATCTCAAACTAGGATGTTAAATTGTAGCTTCATCCTAACTAAACTAAAATTCATCCTAACACTAACTAGTCTGAGTTTGAAACAGAAAGAAAAACAAACAACCCAGCATATTAGTTTAATCACCATTTCAACACAATTAGAATGATGAAACAGAAAGAAAAACAACAAATCAAGTTACATTCAATCTCAAACTAGGATGTTAAATTGTAGCTTCATCCTAACTAAACTAAAATTCATCCTAACACTAACTAGTCTGAGTTTGAAACAGAAAGAAAAACAAACAACCCAGCATATTAGTTTAATCACCATTTCAACACAATTAGAATGATGGACAAAACTACCCAAACTGTTTTCAGCTTCTCTGCAACTCAACTTCTAATCCATTCTTATTCTTCAACAATCCAGGAATAATCCTATTTGCTCGGTTGCACACAGTTGTTTATTTCATTCAAAGAAATCGCAACCATTGTTTCAATCAACCTTCAAATGCCAAAAATTAATTTTAAGAAATAACGAAAAGACCGCAGAAAATCCTAAAATCAAATCAAAGGGGAAAGCAAAAATAACACTCACTAATCCAATCTGGCAAACAACAAATCTCCTTTCAGGATTCAACTCCATCCATGATGTTCGAGCTGGGCATGCAATTCCACACTTGCAAAATCGAAAATCCATCTTTGAGAAGGAGAGAGGAAGAGCGAGGGAGAAAGCAAGAAAGGGAGTTATTGAGAGATGAAATCGGGATTTAGGTTAGTCAAAAACAGGGTTTTTGTAATTAGGTTTGGGGCGATAATAAGCAGGGACAAATGGGACATTTTGTCATTTTTGCCACGCTAGCGTCCTACTGTCAAATTAGTCAGTCCACAAAGGCAGACATGTACGCTTTTATAGGTCCCATTAAGTGCCATTTGATTTTTCGGTAGTCCATGTCAGCAGGAGATACCAAAAATGAAAACATTGCAAGTTCCGACACTCAATTGTCACAATTTCCCATTTTCAGACACCAAAATAGAAAAAATTGACAATTTCAGCCACTAAAATTAAAATTATCCCCTCTGAAAAAGATGATGATGGTGAGAGGTAGAGCTATTACGGGTAGATTTGTCACTAAAAGATATTTCTCTCTCCTCTCTCTTAGCTTTTAGCCTCATTTAATGGAAAATATCTCTAATTTTGGATGGAATGACAATTTATTAAGACGAGACCAAACTTTGGGGACTAATACCTAATAGTCAAACGTATGAGGACGAGTTGATTAATTTTGTAAAATCTCAGGGATAAAAAAAAAAAAATACTTTCCCTAACTAGTATTATCAAACATGGGTTAGGGGTCATTTGTTTAGGCTGAATGTTGAATGCTGAATCTGAATTAACAACTTATTGAACTGAATGATTAATAAGTGATATTAACAGTTTGTTCGATAAAATTAATTGTTTTAGTAGTGTTTAACTATTAGTTATTTGAGTAACTTTTCATAAAACGCTATAAAAATAGCTTTTATAGTTTTGACTAGTCAAAATGCTAAAAACTATTTAAAAAACTATTGTTGAATGTAGCCTAAGAACTTATTGCTCAATGATCAAGTTTATTTGGTAAACGAGATATTTGAATAATTTGAATGAGTGTATTTTTTTATATATATTTGACCTTCTATGTTTTTACATATTATGTACTTTTTACATAATAATAAAATTGACATTATATTATATAAGATAAACTGAAATATACAAATTTAACTTATTATTCAACTATTAGCATAATATGGTTGTAAATGATGTATATTATTCATAGATAATATAAATTTAATATAATTATGAATGTCACAAATTAATTATATAAAAAGTAAAAATATTTCATAATTAACATCTTAAAAGTTTACTATAAAATATAAAATTAAAGGACATTATCTATAATTCTCTATATAATAAAATATAAAGTTAAATTATATCCGCTTCTTCTTGAAGTATATGGCCCAATATAATAAAATATAAAGTTGAATTATATCTAATATAAAGTCCCTTTTATATATATAGCAGGATATAATTTGTGATTTTAAATATTAGGTAAGGAAATTTTGTATTCTGGTTAAAAAAAGCTATGCAATTTACTGAATAAGTTAGGAAAACTTAGCTTTTTGAATAAGCTAATCTTTTGCCTTCATATTAAGATAAACTGCTTATCTGAAAAGACAAAACAAACGAACTTATTTTCTTTTTATTTGAATCAATAAGATAGGTGTATAATAAGCCATAATAGCTCAAACAAACATCCTCTTAGGCATAGAAAAGGATGGACTAGGATGTACTTTCAGAACTTAGTTAAAGAAAAGTCGATCAAAACGCATTGATTTTGTTTTTTATTCTTCTGTCATAATAGATCATTGGAAAGTAGAAGTTGCAAATTCTAGTTAAGAATGGCAATACCAGTGTCAAAAATTTTTAAAGTAAGGAATGATAATGGGTTGGATGTGGAGTGGGGTTTTTAATATTCATATTCATTATTTGAGATTAAATATATATCCACCTAGGCACATGCCTTAACTACGATTATATGGGTTACATATCGGTTCAGGTTCAAATTAAGGAAATTAAAGAAAATAGAAAAAATATAGGCTTATTTTAGAAAAAAGATAAATAAATGGAGTGAGTCGAATTTTATTTTACCTGTCCAATTGGGATCGGTCCCATGGATCGGACAAGAAAATTACCAACTCTATTTGCACACTTCATATTTAATTATTTTCTTTTGGATAATTGTGCCCTCTAGTTATCATATTTTTACAGTCTTCATATTTAATTATTTTCTTTTTGGATAAGTATGCCCTCTAGTTATCATATTTTTAATTCTCTCCACATGGCACAGTTAGTATGGCATGTCCACAGATTTTGATCCATGCATCCAAATTGTCAAATAGAAAAATATTAGAATAACAATTAACTATAAGCAATAAGAATTAAATTGAATTCGACTGAATTTAATTTACTATTATGATACAGTTCTAATTTTTAGTAACAATCAAACTAAAAATTATATTAAAGGGCCTAATAAAAGAGGGCTTTATGTATATCATAGACCTATTGCATAAAAGTATCCCAACGTTTACAAATGTTGTGGCACCCCAATCTTTCAAAAAGTCCAATCATGCACATGATGTTCCTTTTTTTGCATTAAAATGCCATTTCCCATGCTGAAGTGGGGAGAGAGTGAGCTCAAAAGCATAAAA